ACCCCAATCATTTGAAGAAACTGTGTTTTCTAGTTTTTATATTGCTTAAAGGTAAAGTTTCCTCAAATGACTGGGATGTCCAAAGATGAATTTATGGTGCCTAAGGCCACCATTGATCTTATTTTGTTCCTAATAAACCACAAAGACATAAACAAAGCTCTTCATGCTCTGATACTGTTATAAACTTTCATGCTCAGCCGGGCACCAAACTGCATCCAGACTTTTTTAAAATAAATTTATTGTTCATTTCATTCTTCAGGCACAGAGCCATGTTTACTGCAGTCATGATGAACTCTTCTACGTCTGCATGGAAACGAAACTGTCATGTTGTGAAATATCTTGTTTCTCTTCACTACAGATGGAACTGTACTGAAGTTCATCCTGTTTCTCTCCACAGAACAATCAACCAGGGCCTACCGGATCTAAAGGGGCCAAAGGTCACAGAGGACCCGAGGGCAACCCGGTAAGACCACTGCGGAACCGATTCTGAGTGTTTGCATGTGTTAGTGCTGAAGATTCTTCAAGGTCAGATGATGAAGAGGCTGCTGTCCTCACACAGCAGTGTGAGCAGCTTCCAGAAAACCAGATTATACAGTAGAACATACTGTATGCTCACGAGTCTAGAATGTTTTTTATATTTTAAAAACTGCAGTAAAAACAGGCGTGGATCTGAAGATTTTATTTATAATTACTGATGAAGGTTTCTGATGTCAGTTTGTCTCATTAGTGAACTCACATTCAAGTGTTTTATGTATAAAAATCAATCTGTCCATCCATCCTTCTATCCATCCATCCATCCATCCAATCGTCCATCTGTCCATCCATTCATCCATCCATCCAATCATTTATCCATCTGTACATTCATCCATCCAATCATCCATCAATCCATCCACTCATCCATCTGTCTGTCCATCCATCCATTCATCCAATCATCCATCCATCCAATCATCCATCCAATCAACCATCATCCATCTGTCCATCCATCCTTCCATCCAATCATCTGTCCATCCATCCATCATCCATCTATCCATCCATCTTCCGTCCATCCGTCTGTCTGTCTAGCATCCATCCAATCATCTGCCCTTCTATCCATCCAATATCCGTCTGTCAGTCCAGCTGTTTTCTTCATTTCTTTTTCTTATGGATAAAATAAACTGTAGGATTTATTTTATTTTCATCATGACATTAAAGAATGTTGGCATCATGGCTTCATGTTCATGTGCAACTATAGAGTGCTCTCTGTTTTCAGAAAACAGTATGTTTGTCTCATTTTTATGAAAATGAAATGTATGGAGCCCGTTGGTAAAATGTGCTCACCTTTGTTTAATCAACCAGAGATTAAATGTCCTGCTTAAACATTTACATCTATAACTGAAGAACTGCTCTGCTGTTAATAAACTTAAACAAGAAAAACTTCATTTTAGGCTGAATAAAGTATCAGTCATATTTTATATTCAAATATTTACCTGGGAGCTGAACAGCTTCATTCTGGAAATCTATCAAACTAAACTGTGACTCAGTGGAGACAGAAAACAGTGTCTAATATTCAGATTGCACAAAACTGCAAATACAGTGAGAATAAAATGTGAACACATTGAGACCTCATTTTGGGACACTTTGGGACTAACTTGCAGCAACGTAGTTCATACATGTTATGTATGCACACTTCTCACAATTTTTGATTCAAATGTCGGTTTTGTAAGCCCCGAATCAGTGGGAGTCCCAGTAAAAGTTCACGTACTGCTTCGAAACATCGTGTCTCAGTGGAGTCACTAATGCAGGCTTAGGGAATACTGTGAGCACGCGTTTGTTGTGCTGAACTGGAAACAATATTTTAGGAATAGATATTAAACATTTAACCATGACGTTGGTTTTAGTTTCTTCCTTGTACAGAGATGGAAAATGAAACAATCAGGTCAAAAACTGAAAGGATCCTTGAGGCTGACTCTAAAAGTGTCTCCAATGTCTTGAATGTGCAACTTTACAGTAAAAATTAATTTATTAACAACCTGATTCATAAAACTGTTTTGGGGTTTTTGTAGCTACCACAATCTTAACCAAGATTATTTCTATCTAACTAATGCGTTTAAAATGTATTTGGGTTAAAAGTTGTGCAAAAGTTCGGGTGTGGCCATGTTGTGTTATTGCTGTTAACCACTTGCGTTGTGTCATTAAGGTATTAGTCTAAAAAACTAAACTGTGTTTTTCATTAGCAAACTTTAAACCAACACAGATGTGAGCTGTTTCAGCCAAGTGGTTAAAGAGAACGTCGGTCTTGTGTTTGGCTCCTTTCCCATCATGCATTTGGGGCTACCATGAACCTGAATGACTCAGACTCCACAGACATGTTTTATACACGTTTACCAGAGCAGCAACTGAGTAACCTTTAGTTAACTTCACATAAAGCCAAAGCAGACAAATTAATGAGGCATTAAAAAAGGAATTCGACTCCCTGAATTTGGAAAGAAAAAGCGATTCCATTTGTTTTAACGAGATAACGAATGAGGCTGGTAATGCTTGATAGTGTGGAAAAAACTCAGTCTGGTCCAACCATGATGGTGATTGTGAGAGGCTTCTTTTCTAAGACGAACCATTTATCAAACTTTATTATTTTTCTCTTCGTTTCTGTCTCTTTTCCACTCTTATCTCCCTCCCTTCCTCTGCTTCCCATTTGGCCAGAGCCTTCCCTGCATATTTTCTACAAAGCGTTTGCATCATGTGTTCTCGAGACGATTTCTTTCCTCTAAAATTAACAGCTGTCTCGCTTTTGACTTCATCTTTCCCACACTCCGTGTGTTTGTCACAGAGAAGAATGCTCTTAAACTGAGTTTTAATGTGTGTTAAAACGAAACAGATGGTTTTCGTGCAGCGAAGTGGAGAGACAAAATGCTGTTGCCGTGAACTTTGGGAAGAGTCGGTTGCTGTTGCACAAAGATAGTGGAGCACACATGCACGAGTGGGTGTGGGCTCACTTAATGTGGGAATCTGGTTTTCCAGTCGCAGGGATAATGATTCACCAAAGAAAACCCCCCCTTTTTATTTCCACTTCAAATACAATGCTCCTATGCTGGCTCTGTTATCTTGAAGTCAAACCAAACACATTTTTGTAAAAAAAAAATTAAAAGACTAAATGAATATTTTATCAGGAAGGATCTCCATCTTCTTGTCATGAGTTTATTTCCTGTCTTTCTTCAGGGTCCTGTTGGACCGCCTGGACCTCCAGGATCTGATGTGAGTATAAGAAGTTCTCTCTTGGTTTATTGTGAACTTTTGCCCTCGTTTCACTTGTAAGACCAGATGTCAAAGGACCGCACACCTCATTTCCCTTCAGCCCAAGTTCAATTTCCTGAACTCTAAAACTTCATAAACCTCTGAGTAAAATATCACAATTGTCCTAGTTTCTTTTTCTTTTTAGAACGTTTCCTGCAGGACCTGCTGGTGTTTTGTGTTTGAACGTTATATGCTGTTAGCGTGCGTGTTATGTCGAACTGTTATCTGAGCTCCACCTCTCCACAGGAATGTGAAATTCTGGATATCATCATGAAGCTCTGCTGTAAGTCAAACTGTTTCCATCCACACTTAAACCTGGTTACTGACAGTGATCCACCCCTTTGTCCTGTTTAACTCGGCGACTTTAAGCTGAACATGTCATTTAGAAATCAAAGCAGGTCGCTCAGGTTGTGTTTTAATTTATACTGACGTGTGTTTTTCTTTTCATCCTCTTTGAATCACCTCCCAGCTTGTTGTGGTAAGTTTGGAGTCTTTTCTAAATTATTACTTGCACTTTGTTGACATTTGAATTTTTACTGCCAACCACAGAAATGGTAAATGGACTGTACTTATATATAGCGCCTTTCTATCTTATTGGGATACTCAAAACTCTTTACACTACAATCTGTGTCCTCATTTACCCATTCATACAGAACTCTACTAGATCTCTACAAAGATAATTGAACAAATCATTCTAAAGAGACTAATCAGAGCTTTATCACATTCAGACACCACAGAAAGGCCGTAACGTTTGTAAATATGCACTTGTGTCGGTTAGCAAAATATCTTATATACCAGTGAATGGGCTTTAATAAACGCTCAACAAAGAATCACTGAATGTGCATCTACAAGTGATTAACTTTGGAATCAACCAAATCCAATAAGGCCAACAGAGCTAATCGACCAACAAAAACACAAAAAGGACTAAAAGTCAGACAGTTGTTCAGAAATTGAGCTAACATCTGGTGTTCTGGCATCAGAGCTTGGTCCTCAACACATAGAAGAAGAACTAAAAGGTTTTTGGCATTTTGTGAACATGAAAAACTAGAAACACAAGTGATTTGGTGTGTGGCTGCATCTAGATTAGAAGTAAGAGAGTTCATTATTAAAAACTGGGTTGCCAGGTCAAATCCAGGACGGCCACCTCCTTATATTTATGTAAACCAGCCACCCCTGTCATTTTAAGGAAACTATGTTTTCTAGTGTTTATTTTGCTTAAAAGTAACATTTTCCTCAAACGACTGGGGTGGCCAAAGATTAATCTATGTTTGCTAAGGCCACCATTGGCCACCCCCCGGCTCCTCCTTTGCACCTGTTGGGGGGTAAAATTTCTCCCCCCACTCCCCAGGATGCATCACTCTGCACTGCTTAGGACAAGAAAAAACAAAACCCCTCCACCCACCCACACACACACACACACATACACACACACTATCATTCCTACCCACTTGAAATTTTTGCACCAAAAACTTTAAGGTTTTACTTCATTTCCTGTTCAATTCTAGTGCAAGAAAACTTGAAAACTAAACTACAAATGTTCAAGCGTACCACTTGTTGAGTTTTGCCATTATCACTGCTTGTCTTTTAGAAAAAAATCTCTACAACAGCTTGATTAACTCTCTGAAAGTTGAACAGCTACACCTCATTAGTTTTTGGAGTCAGTCTAATTCAAGATGGTCACCACAGCCAACTGATTTTAGTGGACACACAAATGGTCACAACTTAGTGAATTTTACAGATGTTAAGCTCAGATGTGATGTGGTAGTTACTGATAGTCATTTACAACACGTACTTTAAGTTCGGGAGCTCGCACTGTTGCATGTGACCGATGGATAGGTGTTGTTTTTTTATTTGTTTGTGTATTTTGTGTGTTCAGAGTGCAAGTGTGCACCTGTGGACCTGGCGTTCATCGTGGACAGCTCAGAGAGTATCGGTGCCACAAACTTTGCCCTCGCCAAAGACTTCATCATCACAGTTATCGACAGGCTGATTAAAAACCACCAGGTCAAGGTAATGTCTCTCCTATGACTTTATACCGTGTTGACGATTGACAGCATGGCGTTCGTCCTCACCCAGCCTCACCCAGCCTCACCCACCCTCTGTGGGATGACAGCTGTTTGACCCATGTGGAGCATTTATCTTAAATTCCTCCAGGATTATTTTCCAGAGGCGTTACTTGCCTCATGATCAGACCTCAGAATAGAAACACGTGAATTAAACATGTCTCGACTGCGCTCGGCAGTCTCTCCTCCACTTTGGGTGTAGTTAATTAGAACGGCGGGGGCGCAGCAAGGTGTGCTCATGGAGGTGACAGGTGCAGACTAAAACTCATCCTGCTCTGTTGTTTTTTTATTTTCAGTTTGCAGCAAACCAGTCCTCGGTGAGCGTCGTCCAGTACAGTGGATCACAAGCCCAGGAGGTCGTGAAACTCACCAGTAACCTCACCGGCTTCAAACAGTGAGTTCACAGTCAACATGAAGTTGGTCGATCACCGTTAAAAGGCAAAGGCTGAACTAGTCTAACGTAGCTTACAGAAATATTTATACCTCAGTGAAGTCTACAGAGCTCACATGTGGTGCGGTGGTAACTGAGAGTCTCACAGATCATGTCAGATAACACAATGAGAATGTGCATAAAGTTGTTGTCCCCCATCATGAACTGAAGAAGGAGAAATGGAAATACCCTTTGTGAATGATCACCTGAAAAATAAGTGATGTATTAGATTAAATTCTGATGTGTAACTGCATCTAAGTCACTGTCACAAGTTGGGTTGCCACATCAAAGTCAAAGATGGCCACCATCTTATATATGTAAGCTGGCCACCTCGGTCATTTAAGGAAACTGCTTTCTAGTTTTTATGATGCTTAAAAGTAGAGTTTCCTCAAATGGCTCTTAAGGTGGCCAGAGGTTAATATATGAGGGCCAAGGCCACCTTTGGCCACCCCCTGGCTCCTCCATTGAGCCAGGTGGTGGATATAATGTCTCCCTCCACCCTCCAAGATCCATCACTCAGTGCTGCCTCAGACAAACAAAATATAAACTCTGTTCTCCACAGTGTAACTCTTCCCCACTTGAATATCTTGCACCAAAAACATTTAGGTTTACTTCATTCTCTGTTCAGTTCCAGATTTTCAGAAAAACACTCATCTCAGAAACTACAAACATTCACTATTCATCTCCCTCAGACAGGAGACATTTGTGTGCTGCTTGTTTTAGCAGTTTTATTCCATCAAACAGAAAATATTTTTTCTGCCTTTAAAAAAAAAAAATACTTAGTGTAAAAAAAATTCTAAAGCAGTAAAATATATAAAATATCTGAAAAGTCTAAAAGCTAATATCTTGATCATTTTCAACTGATACTCTGTGTGTCACTGTTTATTAAAGCTCCTCATGTTGTCCTTGTTGTGTGTGCGTGCGTGCGTGCATGTGTGCAGGGCGGTGAGAGACCTGCGCTGGCTGGCTGAGGCCACCTACACAGGCGAGGCCCTGGAGTTCGCTCTGACGGCGACGCTCAAAGACATGAGGAAGGACAACAAAGTTGTTCTGGTTCTGACTGACGGACGCTCCGACATCATCAGGGACAAGGTTCCCCTCAATGTGCTCTGTGGGAAAGGCCTTGTGGTGAGTGCAGTGTATCGTCACTGAGGGTTGATTTGTTTGACTTTCTGCAGTAGCTCCAGCATCAAGTGCCTTTAGGTTCATCTTCGTGGTTCTTCAGGTCCAAACGTCTCCAGCTCCTTCAGGTTGAACGGTGCTGCTTGTGTCTGACAACCAGCCAAACCAGAGATTCTCAGTTGGGCAGAGGTCTGAGCTTTGACTGGACCATTCCAGGTGTTGCTTCAGCAGAGGTTCTGGATCATTGTCCAGCAGGAAGGTGGACCTCCATGTCAGTCTCAAATTTGTGGAAGAGTCAAGAGTTCCTCTCAGGAGTTTGTCTTCATTTTGCTCCATCGATCTTACCTTCCTCTTTGATCAAGTTCCCAGTTCCTGCTGATGGAAAACATCTCCACAGCATGATGCTGCCACCACCATGCTTTGTAAATAAGGGTGCGTCTGAGTGCATCTGACTGCAGCACCTTAGGGGACCTAAGGGACCACCTAAGGGACTCTCCATGTTGTATCTGGACAATTCCAATGTTTGTTCTTCAGCAGTGTCTTTTTGCTGCAACTCTTCCCTGAAGCGCAGCTCTGTTCAGCGTCCTTTACTTCTGTGGACAGATCCTCCCACCTCCACAGACAAGCTGCTCAGCTCCTTTGGGGTTATCTTGGACCTCCTGGACATGACTCTAATTGATGTCCTCCTTACCTGGTTCATGAGTTTTGGCAGATAGCCCTTTTCTTTGTGCGGGCTTGTTGTAGTTCTTTCCATTTTCTAGCCATGGATTTAATTTCAATTCAATTCAGTTTATTTCTGTAGCTCCAAGTCACAAAAGAAATCATCTCAGGGCGCTGACCAGAAACATTCACATGGGAAATGGACTGTACTTATAAAGCGCCTTTCTATCTTATCAAGATACTCAAAGCGCTTTACGTTACAATCTGTGCCTCATTTACCCATTCATACAGCTCTATACTAGATCTCCACAAAGCTAATTGAACAAATCATTCTAATGAGACTAATCAGAGCTTTATCACATTCATGCACTGATGGGACACACATGAGGGTTTCAGTGTCTTGCCCATGGACACTTCGGCATGTGACTGCTGGTGGATTTGAACCCCCAACTCTTGCATTGGAGGACAACTGCCCTAACCACTCAGCCACAGCCGCCCATAGAAAAGCCAATTAGTAAAAGTTATTTATCTAAAGAAGCAGCAGATTGTGTTGAATCTCCACTTCGTCACAGTCTCCCATCCTGAGCAAACACAAAGGAGACAGTGGAAAGGAAAAACTCCATTTTAACAGTCAGAAACCTGCGGCAGAACCAGGCTCAGGACAAGTGGCCATCTGCTTTGACCGACTGGGTTAAAGAGGACAGGAAGGAGAGACAGACAAACACAGAATGGCAGGTCCAGATGAACTTTCTATAGGAGGAAAGACAAAAAAACACGTTAAGATGGAAATAATTACAAATACAATCAGAAAGAGTAGAGCAAGTAAAGACAGCAGCAGAGAGAAAATTGTGGTCAGTTTGTCCTCCAGCAGTCTAAGCCTATAGAGCATAACTAAGGGACAGCTCAGGAAACCCAAGCCGACCCTAACTATAGGATTTATCAAAAAGGAAAGTCTTAATCCCAGTCTTAAAACTGGACAATGTGTCAGCCTCACAGACAGAAAAAGTTGGTTCCACAAGAGAGGAGCCTGATAACTGAAAGATCTTCCTCCCATTCTGCTTTTGGAAACTCTAGGAACCACAAGTAAACCTGCAGTCTGAGAGTGAAGTGCTCTGTTAGGAAAATATGAAACAATAAGATCTTGAGTATAAGATGGAGCTAGGTTGTTGAGAGCTTTGTAGGTTAGATGTAAGATTTTGATGAATCTCTTTGGGCTGTTCAGGTTTCATTTAATTTAAAAACCACCCATGATCTGTTCTTCTCCTTGTGTGGAGAATTCCTTGGTCTTCATGCTGTCTCTTGCTCGATGGTGTTCTTTACTACTTAGAGAAGTTTCTAACTCTCTGTAAGTATAGTGAATAGTAAACAGCCATCAGGGTGCTAATGATCCATTGTTAGGCTGATGGTCCTTCTTGAGCATGTGATCAGCTGGTTTTGGTTGTCAGCAGCAAACTGGTTGATCCACTCTGAGAAGGTGCTATTTAAGAGACTGAGCTGAATGCAGCACCTCAGACTGAGGAAGTCTCTCGGATGAAAGACGAAACGTTTCTACATTTTTTTGTTGTTTCGTTTTTTTGAATGTCCAGAGGACCAGATTTAACTTTTTTAGATTTTTCTACCTGGATTATTGAGCATGCATCAGGATATCCTCTGAAAAGTAGTTTCACACAAACTTGATCCGCTAACCTGAGAATGTGTGGTCTCGTCTCCAGGTGGGGGGTTTGGGAGTTAAGGACTACTCGGGCCGCCAGCCCAACCAGGAGCAGCTTCAGTCCGTGACGTGCGAGGCTGACCCCAAACCAGGCTTCTCTTTTGTTCTGGATAACTTTGCTGAGCTGCTGAACGACAACTTCCTGCAGAACCTCACAGCCAAGATCTGCCAAGGTGCACAGCCGCTGCTCGACAGCAGTCACAGTTAGTTTTTATAAAGTCTGGTGGAACTGACTTTGATTCTGTTCTGTCCTTTTCTCCTGCAGAGAAAAAGTGCCCAGACTACAAATGTCCCAGTAAGTGTGTTTCCACCATATTTAGTTGCATTTCTTGTTAAAATCTGAGAAATACATAAAATAAGATTCAGTCTGGTTGTAGAGTTTGAGTCGCTGTTTTACCTCCTCGGTTTTGTTACACCTTGTTGTTCGGCTAATCTTTTCTAATCAGAGGTTTTTTGACCGTTTCGGTTTGTTTTTGTGTTGCAGTCTCTTTCTCTGAAGCTACTGACATTTTGGTGATGATGGACAGCTCAGCCAGTGTGGGCCAGAAGAACTTCGAGATAAGCAAGACTTTTGTCCGACGCTTGGCCGAACGTTTCCTGGCAGCCGAGAGAAAGGGAGGTGCCAGAGTCAGAGTGGGCGTGGCCCAGTACAGCAGAACCCCCAAAATGGAGCAGGTACCAACTGCCAATCTGACCGTGCTGTCTTCTCACATCGAAGAAGCAGCTTTCCAAAATGACGGCACCAACGTCTTGGAGGCTCTCGGGTTTGCCGTTACCAGCTTCCGCGGTCGTGGGGACGCATCTTCTGGGGGCCGTAAAAAGCTGGTGCTGTTTTCTGACGGCCGGTCCCAGAGAGTCACCGAGGCGCTTTTGGAGAAGCGAGTTCGTGAGGTGGCAGATGCCGGCATTGAGCTCTTTGTCATCTCGGCCGGCAGCCAGGTGAGCGAGGCCAATCTCCGCATGCTGGTGAGCCGGGGCCGGCAGGACGACATCTCCTACGCTCAGCGCCACCTGTTCCGCATCCCCGACTACCCCTCGCTGCTCCGTGGGGTCTTCCACCAGACCGTCACCCGCAGGGTCTCTTTGCCCTAAGTGTCAACCGAAGGACCAACTTGTTTTAGTTTTTTAGTTCCAATAAAAAATATTCAGTCTCACTCATTTACACTGCGTTCAAGTACGTCTGACAAAGAAAGAGGAAATGTCACTAAGTTACAGAAGATTGTGTGACAGCTAAATGTAAATATTTTACTGAATCAACCCTCCAAGGCAGAACAGCTTAGGCTGGGTCCAGCACAACCTGGATGTAACCCTGCAGGACATGCTGTGTTTAGCCTTTGTGGTCAAATTCAGAGTAAAACCTTCAAAGCAGCAAACTTTGATCCTGGAGAGTCCTCTTTAACAACCACGTTAAATAAATGTTTCTATTCTTCATCTGGACCGATCTCCTCTCAGGTGCTCTACACTTCTGTGTCCAACTCTAACGTTCTTCATCCCAGCAGTGGAACCTCCTGAAGCCTCTCCAGGACCAGAGTTACTGCTGGTTTTGCTTTAATGTGGATCCGTCTTATAGCTCTTAGCACCCTCAGATGTGTTGTGTTACAATAATGAGAAACAAGTTTAAAAAAGACTACAACCTCAGCACTAACACTTCTCCCTGCACTAGTATGAAACTGGTTCCAGACTGGTTCATCACTTTATTTGTTTTGTCAGCGAGAAGCAGAACGATGTGTTTCTGATTTGATTGAAGCAGCTGACGTCATTTAAAAGCTCTGTTAGATCACCATGATGTGGCCGTCAGGCAGACTTTGAAGTAAGGCCCACCAATATTTCACCTGATGCACATAAAAACAGCTGGACTCAACATGTGTGGATATCTAGTGTGTGTGCATGTGTGTGTGTGTGCACCATATATATGAGGCTGTGTGTGAAAACTTGGGGAATATCTGGTTTAGCTGGGGGTAAAATTCCAGAGTAATAGAGACAAAAGCCTGTTTTATGTTTGTGCAGCAGAGAAGCTTCATCCAAACACACACACACATTTACCTTCCAATAGCCACCATGATTAAAAGTTCTTAATGAGCTTTTGAGCCATCGTGTGTCTTTTACAGCAAGATTCACCTGATTTGTAGTCCAGAGAGGCTCAGAGAATTACTGAACTGTTCTCATCGGTGTAAGTTCTTGAAGATCATTTTAACTGAGAGGACTCAGTGGTGCTGTAAGAGCTCTTTCAATAAAGGTTGTTACACCTCAGTGTGCCTCTGCTTCCTTTTGTTGGTTCAGACTTGCAATGGAAGGAAGGTCCGTTTGGAGCTTTTAGTTTGGTCCAAACTAGTCATTGGGTTTTGAGTGATTTTGTTTGCAAGGAGCTGGCACGTGGGAGGAGGGCTAGTAAATAAAATGTTGAGGCCAAAAGAATCTGTCTTAGTTTAAAAAGTAATTAATAAATGTGTACCAGATTCAAAATCCATCCAGTTTAGTTCATCGGTCTGCGTAGATTTTCTACCAGACGTCATTCTGTGTGATAGAAACAGGTTGTTGGAGTTCAGTAACTTAAAAAAAACACAATCTCTTATGTCCAGGCTTTTCAGCTTCTAAACTGTGAAACCTGTAAATGTCGCCTCCTGTCAACGGCAGAAAAGCCAACAATAAATGTATGTGAGCGAAGGAGAAACAAGGGTTCTGCTCACTTCACTACACTTCTGTTTGCACTCGTGAAAGCGGGACACCAGTGCAATATACTGACCAAGAAACAGTTTATTTATTCAGACTAAGATTCAGAACTCATTCACTGAAGGGGAATTTGGTCATTACAGAGAACTCTTTGCTGTAAATGAATATTCACACAAACGAGGTCAGATTTGTCTTCAATCAGAATCAGAATAAGTTTTATTATCATTGTATCGAAATACAGTGAGATTATTTTTGTACAGTCGTCCAAAAGATGGACAGAGTGCACGTTGCTGCTGCTCCTGAGAGCACAGCCTGTTATTCTTTTAGATAGAAAAGGGGAAAAGGCCATGAGGAGAGGACAGTGGCATTACAAAAAGATCTCTTCACATCTTGTCCTATCAGGACATGATTTAAAACATCAAAAAACTACTAGCAAGTACATTTATAAACATTACATAATCTGATGACAAGACGGTGACATTTGTCCATGAAGCACGTCATGATAGTCCATAGTCCTGTTAAAATGTTGGTGTCAGTCGGTGCAGTTCTGATAAGCATTCACAGAAGTTCTTGGGGGGGGGGGGGGGTTGCATTCAGATAAGCCACAGTTGTTGATTTTTTTCAGGCAGACGGTTATTTCTCGTCATCCTTGAGTTCTGCTGGTACTTTTAATACAAAATGGCCAGATGTGTTGGCATTCCACTTGTCTGTGCTTATTAGCTCCCTCCAAAGTTGTCCCCAACACGCTGGCGAGGCTCAAAGCTGCCAGTGACCTGCGATTCTAACAAATCACTTCCATCTTCCGGTTTAGCTCATAAATCAGCTGATTTTGAGTCCTCGAAGCACGAGCCAAACCTTTACACAGGGTCGGCAGCTTTGCCATGGACGAAACTGCTGCCGCCGTCTTCTTTAATAGCCAATAACATAGGTATCCACCAGTGCCAAAAAGTTTTTAAGTTTTATTTAAGTTTTATTACAAAAAAACAAACGTAGAATTGGAACAATAAAAAACAAAATAACAAACAATATTCTGGATAAAACTAGTTAAATGGAGTAGTTCAGTACTAAGACTTGGTGGGTTAACAACCTAAGTTAAGTAATAATTATTAATCCATCGTATCAGTGGGTCTGTGGGTCCTCCCCCAGAAAATGTGGAATAAAAGAGATGCCATTTCCTGCATTTTGGTGTATTTGAACGTGTTGTTAAACATCTTTGTTTATCTACATTTGTAAACATTTGATTAAATTGATTAAAAACAGGTCTCTCTTGTAAATGAGTCCTCAAGGCTCAATGAGACTAACAACCTGTAGAAATAAAGGTTGAATTGAAATTACTATTTTGGAAAGCAAGAAGAAAACCCTGTGAATAGAGCAGCTCCGATTCTGTCAATGTCACGCTCAGCGGCCCCCGCTGCCCCCCCATCTGCCTAAGCCTC